AAGGGGAGAGATGCCAGATGTAGGTGATGGGGAAGAAGGCAGCAAATCACACTGCCACGTGTGTACCTATGCAACAATCTTGCATGTTCTTCACACGTACACCAAAACCTAAAATGCAATAAAATAAATTTAAAAAAATTTAAAAATCAGAAAAAAAAAGGACCTTTTTATTTTCCTTCACATGACCTTGTATGAGTGGCATCCTGACCTTGATCTTTTCCCACAACTGGTGCCACCTCTTTGGAATGCAGGTGAAAGAAATATTGCTGTGCTCTTAGAAGCAGCATTACAAAGAAGTGTGTGAGTTCAGCATCCAGAGAACCTGGTTTGAATTACTCTACTAGTCACTCTGGGGAATTGCGTATGCTCAACATACGTACAATGAGCCTAACATCATGTGCGATTCTCATAGTTAAATAAGGTACATTATGTAAAGAAACTGGTATAATTTATAACGATGAAGACTACACCAAATCTACGGATTAAGCAAGTGACTTGCTACCTAGATCCCTTCGATCTCACTGGAAATGAAAGCTGGGTCAGAAAGCGGGTGTGAAAATGGTTTACCACATTAGCTGTCCAGATTGCCAAGGCTCTCAGCTAACCTGGCCTGCTGGGACAGTGTCTTTCTCCCTTCCTCTGCTCTGAGTGCTTTCCTCAAGAAATCACAGCGTTTGCAGACAGAGGAGGCCACACAGTCTACTTCCACCCCGAGTAGTTTTGCTTTCCAGTAAAATGGGTCTACACGTTCTTAAGGTCTATTAGCCGGTCACGAAGACTTTTGCTTCCCCGGTCTCCAAGCACTGGATCATCGCACAACTGGATAACTTGTTAAAAGTACAGGAAAAGAAGATTTTCTTAATGTATTACATGGCTACTGTATTAACATGTGCTGTGTGTGTGTGTGTGTGTGTGTGTGTGTGTGTGAACAACTAAATATAGTGAGTTTTCTTTATCTCTTTGTTTCATTTTTATATCCAGTTCTTGAAAAGACATTTTACTCATTTTTAGTTAAAAAATAAATTAGGCTCACTTTTCCAAGCTGTTTTCAATTATGTTACTCCACCCACTCTCCATATTTTTCTGGGCCCTCATTTACCCCCTGAAGGATTTATAGGGCAGCCCTCTGCTCTTTCTCAGCCACTGTGGTCACACCGCCTCCACACACCTAATCTGATCTTCAGAGAGCCTGCTGGTTCAGATTCGAGATTGTACCAATTAGAATAGGAAAGTTCCTCTTCCTCCGCAGCCCGCATTCCTAAATATTTGTTGATATATGAGTATCAGCCAGTAGATGTTATTTTGCAAGAGTCACTATGTTTCTTAATATATTTAAATCAACTGAAACAGGCACTGGCTCCTCCTCCATCAAGGCTGGCAGAAAACATAATTTTAGTCCTCACTGGGACTCCTTACCTCCAAGGACTGTGTAAAAACTTAAGTACTGTCATTCAGAACATCAGACTGGTTTCTCTGGTCAAGGGCTATGGTTCTACTGATACACCTGTTGCTACAGTCCAGTCAGGGCCATCAGCCCTAGCAGTCAACTTGAGGGCACTGGATTCTAGGACCATAGGTGCCCTCTGCAACCATCTTTGGGGTCTCTTCCCTTTGTCAGGGTTGACCACAGAGCAGGATGTGGATCCCTAACATTAGAGAAACTCTCACATTCATCTCCTTCCACTGCCTCTGGAAATCTCTGCCTTCTTTTTCTGCTAGATTTGAAAGTCACTATCTTTTCTCTCTGGCACAATTTCTTCAAAGGGTTTAAGCCTTGGCACAAGATAGGAAAGGTCTTTGATATCGAGTTTTCTGTCATGTATTAGGATGTTTGAAATAAGAAGAAGGAAAAAGACAAAGAATAAATTATTTGCTCAAATATTATCCTGTTTGCTCTTTCTAGAATGAATAAACTCTAGTTAAGAGAAACACCCCGGGGGATCCCTGGCAGCAGAGAGAAATGAAGTGTGGCACAAAGACATCTGTAGAGCAGCTGGGGGTGGCGGGCGGGCTGCAACGGGCCTTGGGATGGTGAGGATCTTTGCTCTAGCATGTGTGTGATTTTCCAGATCTCCCAGGGTGATGCCCCAATGAGGCATTGGACTCTAATTTTACACTGCTGCACTAGCATTTCTTTATTTGTACCTTTCTTGTTTCCTGCCTCTTTTTCACTCATTGCATTTTTCTTCCTTGTCTTTTCCCAACATAATTTCAGTTGGTGCTCATGAAAAGTACAGCTGCCATAAAGTTAAATATTGTTTATCAAGATGCCAGATGCCATGAAGGTCTGATTGCTGGGTAACTAGTCACTGGGATAACTTAATAAGGAGAGTAGCCCACAGTTCAGTCATGTGATATTCAGATGACCGTATCAGATCAAAAGTGATTTGAAGTTTGAGTAATCACTCTGCCAATGACTGAGCTGGGGTAATGCATGTCTCCTTAATTATGGAGTCAAAAGGAATATTAGCTCCTTGCTGCACCCTTAGCTTCTCATGCTTTTTGCATGATTTTCACCTTCCTGTCTTCTTTCAACTTGTAGCAAATATGAATTTCTGGGCCATTTTCCATATCACTTATTTTATCTATTTATGCCTGTGTTTATAAACATTTCTGCTTATGAATGCTGCTTCTTGTATTTCTGTTATCCGCCTTTGTTGTGGGGCATCTGCTTTCTTTCATATGCTCAATATAAGAAAAGTTTTTGGGCTAAACAAATATGTTCTAAGCTTATACAATTCTACAGTACATGATTTGCTGTGTCCCTTTTTCACCACAAATTGCATTTCACTTCTTTTCTCCACATATTTTTATTCTCTACAACAAAGGTCAGCACGTAACTGCCCATGTGTTGACTCTCAGCCACGGCCCAGTTTTGTAAATAATGTTTTGTTGCAACACAGCCATGCCATTCTTTCAAGTACTGTCTGTGGTTGCTTTCACACTACAATATCAGAATTGAGTAGTAATGCCAGAGATTCTAGATCTTCACAGCAAAATGTGCTGACTCCTACCATGAAACAATAATAAAAAATTATTTTCATCAAAGAATTCTAGTGCTCCAGAGCTAAAAAAGGATAGCAGTCCAAGAACTTCATTTTAGAGAAAACAGGCCCATACAAGCATCAGACTTTACCACTAAGTGGTAAGCACCGTACCTTAGCAAATATTAACTCATTTAATACCCATAACCGGTATTATTTCTATTGTATAGATAAGTAAATGAGGATACAAGAGCTTGAATAACACTTCCCAGTCATATAGCTGCTATCATCAATGGAGGTGGTGGGACTGAACCCACAGCATGGGGCTTCCGAGTCCAAAAACAAAACCGTTGCACCATTCAGCCCCTAGATGAAAGAATTTCCTCTATGTTCCACAGAAAGTATCAGAACAAGGACCAGTGCCCGGTTTCCTGTTCTCCCATGCCATTTATTTTAAGTAAAGATTTTTATTCACCTCAGTATTCTGCGACCAAGAAAAGAGGACTTTTTTTATGAGTATTCCCTGAGCCTTGACTAAAAGTACGCTCTGGGGTAGGACATCTGTCCCAGCATGCTTTCCTGAGTGAGTCGCATAGCGATAGCCGTGTTTCGTGGGCTGACTTAATCCCTTAAGATCTGTCTAAAGGGGCAGTGAACCATCTATTAGAAGCCCTTCAGTTCCCAGGAGGAAATGGGACTCTTCCTCCTCAAGTCAACCTGTTATGCTTAGACTTCCCGGTGCTCAAATAGAAATCACTATTTGGATCATAAAATTTATGACTAATATTTGCAATTGGAACAAACTTAGGGCTACATGTTGCAAAAATTATGGACTCGGCATACAATTAAACAGTCTTTTTATGCTGTACAGCTTTTGTCAGTTACGCTAATGACTGCAGCTTCATGACTGTTGCAGTTCCACATGGTCAGCACTCCAGGGGCCTTGACACCTATGCCCCACTGCCTTAGAGACACTTACCTCTGTCTGACTCTCTAATCAACCTACTGCTAGGGTTTGGGTGTTTGTGTCCCTTCAAAATTCATGTTGAAACTTAATCCCCACTGTGGTGGTGTTACCAGGTGGGCTTTTTAGGAAGTGATCAAGTCATGAGGGCTAAGAACTCATGAATGAGATGAATGCCCTCATACAAGAGGCTTCAGGGTTGAGTACAGTGGCTCATGCCTGTAATCCCAGCACTTTGGGAGGCCAAGGTGGGCAAATCACGAGGTCAGGAGTTCAAGACCAGCCCGGCCAACATGGTGAAATCCCATCTCTACCAAAAATACAAAAAATTAGCTTGGTATAGTGGCGAGTGCCTATAATCCCAGCTACTTGGGAGGCTGAGGCAGGAGAATTGCTTGAACCTGGGAGGTGGAGGTTGCAGTGAGCTGAGATCCTGCCGCTGCACTCCTGCCCAGGCAACAGTGTGACACTCCATCTCAAAAAAGAAAAAGGAGGATTCAGAAGACGAACTGGCCCTTTGGCCCTTTTGCCATGTGAGGATGCAGTAAGAAGGTGCCGTCTTGGAAGCAGAGAACAAACCCACACCAGACACGGAATCTGCTGGCACCTTGATCTTGGACTTCCCAGGCTTCAGAACAGTGAGAAATAAAATTTCTACTATTTATAAGTTACCAGTCTAAGGTACTTTGTTATAACAGCAGGAATAATCTAAGACATTTACCTTGATGTCTTAACTACTTAGTCTTTTGTAATTCGGTTCTCTCCTCGGGTTTCTGATAGCTTCCTTCCTAAATACTTTTTTTCTGAAATGAAAATCTCTTCTGTACCTTAACTCAGGCTGCTAACGCTGTTACAGCAAGATCGACAACTGGTCAGAGTGCTGTCCTCATAAAAGCATGATAATCACCTTCAGCTGGGCTCTCAGATCAAACAGCCTGGCAATCTTCTTTGTTTCCCTTGTGTCTTCCCATTTCCATGCCAAAATTCCTGTCAAACTTCTGACTCTCTCACCTGTCTCAGCAAATGGGAACTCTCCACATCTCTGCACCTACCTGTTTTCATGCTTCTGTCTGACTTCACTCCTCACATTTGACAAAGAGCTTCTCCGCCTATGAAACGCCATTTTCCTCCATCCCATCGTATCTCAGCATCTCAGGGATCTTGCACTGATCATTTTCACATCTTCAGAGCTGGTTCAAGAGACGTATCACCTGAGCAGCAGCCTGGCATGCCCATTTGTAAGACGTGAAAAGCATCTCTGAAATAAATTATTAGAGAAATACAGTACCAGTTAATTTCGGCTTTCCTATATAAGCAAAGCATAAATTGACCTTTTTCTTAATAGAAATTTAAACCAAACAAAATAAAACAAAGCAGCATATTCCTCTGACTCTGGTCCCTCACGAATGAGTTTTTGTGATGTTTCCCACTGCAGGATGCAAGGATGTATAAGTAGAACCATAGTGTTGTCACTAGCCCTGAAGTTGGCCAGCTGACAACTGTTTGGAGGCAAATGAAATCCTCGAGCCCAACACAGCGGAGAAACATCAAACGTGTATTTGATTATATAAAATTAATTACATGTGCGCCACTAAAGAGAGAATACAAGTGAGAGCTGAGCAAATAACAATTTAAATATTATGGGCAATTCTGCCTGCTGGTCCCCTCACTGCTCATATGACCCAAAATAGTGATGTCAGGAAGGAGAAAAACTAATCCCTAGAGTGTGTACAAGGCCCATCTTCGTTAATTAATTCTTCATCACACAGACACTGGAGTGATCATTACTGTTAGCATCAGTCATTGTGAATCACATTATCCTCAGAGTCACACAAAGATATTCTGAATGTATAGGGTGTATTTAGCATTATTGTTTTTCCTTTTTTTAAAAAATACTTTCATTCTCCTCATCTTGTTATCTCATAACTAAAAATATTCTAGAGTTATATTTTGCTTATGTACAGGTAATTATATCCTTGCCATTACTGTCTAGTTTACACACATATACATGCATATTACCATAGAGCAGTGTATATACCAAACCACAGACACTCCACTTTATATTTAATATAAGGTATTACCCAAGGACGAATTTGAGAAAACATCACTTAGCACTTTGACTTTACAACCTACCTGCAACATGAGTTGCCATCCTTGTAATGTAGAGTATATTGTAACATAAAGAGTAATACTGTTTTCCAGGAGAGAGTGACTTATCTGATAAATGCACCCAAAATATGACCTGATTTTGAAAATTACAACAGAAACTAAGAACTCCAGAAAAACTGGAAAACTTGCCAACATGAATCTAGGAATAAAGAACTTAAAAATATTTTGAACAAAACCTGTAGATAACATGCTTAAGTTACTTCTATCCATAGAGATTTGGAATGAGTAAATATCCAGTTTTGAGTAAAAAAAAAAAAAAAAAACCTTAACTATAAGACAATTCCAAATAAGTTAAATGCTGTATAATGTTCAGTGCTTGAACTCCTTTAAATCGGAATTTTAATAAAAAATAAGGTATGCCATTTTCCTTACATTAAAATTCAGTTTTCCCGTCCCCCTTAATATTAGCCAAATATTTTTTAAAAATCACTGTGTTGAGGGTTCAAATTATTAGCCTATAACAATTTTGGTTTGCTATATTTTATGTATCTTAAGACATTTATTCAGAACTAGCTCTTTCCTGTGTTAACAAAATTAAAAATCCAACAAAAAAAAACTTTTTTGACCCGATGTCCTCTCCACTCACTGTTATATTATCTTACCTTCCTAGTCAAACTTTGAGACAAGATCTCACCCTGTTGCCCAGGCTGGAGTGGCAGTGGCACCTCCCGGCTCAGGTGACCCTCCCACTTCAGCCTCCTAGGTAGATGGGACTACAGGCATTTGCCACCGTGCCTGGCTAATTTTTTGTATTTTTGTTGTAGAGACAGGGTTTCACCATATTGCCCAGGCTTGTCTTGAATTGCTGGGCTCAAGAGATCCTCACACCTCAGCCTCCCAAAGTGTTGGGATTACAGGCATGAACCACCGCACCTGGCCCTAGCCTACCTTTTTAAATTAGCTAAGGTTCTTTGCAATTCTGAAACCTGACTTAGTCAGTCTTTTAAGTGGTCTCCTCAATTTAATTTTTGCTCTAATCCATTCACCAAACTGTAAGTTGAGTAACTTCTAAAATACAGATTTCTTCATGACACTCTCAATCTTGAAATCCTTCTATTGCTCTTTTCCTATAAAGATACAGTGTTAATTCTACTACATCGTTTATGATGTTCTCCACCACCTGGTGCCTACTACCTCAACAGCTCAGCTCTTGCTGCTCACATATACTTAGAGCTCTAGACCATTAATCTTTCCCTGTTCGGTTTCTCAATTGTTCCCTGTTCATTTTCTCAATTGTGTCATGCTCACGCTCACCAGAAAGTTACCCAGAATGTTTCCTCTGTCTGGGACTTCTCTTGTTGGATTTTCAAGGCTCTTACCCTTCATGTCTCTCAGGTTAAAAGTGTCCTCTCCATCACGGTTTTCATTAGGGTTCCCTGCCACCGTTGTCCTTGCGAGACAGCCAGGTAGGAGGGTGAACCCCGGAGAAACTCCAACCTGCCTGCCCAGAGTTGGAGACTCAGAAGCTCCCAGGGAGGAACCTGGCCCCTCCTCTTCCTGTGTGGAATCTAGGATTCAAACTGCCAGGCCGGAAGTGCTCTAGCCCAGGGTGTTTCACCCTTTTTTCCTTTTTAATTCAATAAAACCCTGCTTTATACACCCTTTAAGCTATCTGTCAGCCTAAATTTTCATGGCCATGGGAGGGACAAGAACCGCATCTTTAGCTGAACTAAGGAAAAGAAAGACCCGCAACATTTTGGCATGCAATGTGGGGATTTAAGAAGTGGTGAGTGAAATGGGAACTCAAAACTTCTCACTGTTCCTCCTAAGCATTTTCATCCTCCAACTTCTGAGGGTGGGGGAAATATGCCCCCAATCCCGGTGGGGTCCGGGAAAAGCCCTTTCCTTCCTTTTCTGGGAAGGACAGGCTAGCGGGGGCTTCTCTCTCCCTCTCCCCTCCGTGTAGGTGCTGAGACTCATGGCCCAGGGATCCTGCACTGCTGGCTGGTTCAGCTTTGAAAGGGGTTCAGCTTTGAACTTCAGTTTTGAGTTAGATAGAAAAAGCTGAAGGTTCAAAGACGTGGTGGAAGAATTGTGAAAATTAATATTGCAGAAGAGGTTGTCTGTGTGAACATATTAACTAAATTTAAAGGGGTTATAAAATGCTTTTGCTTCTTGAGATTTCCAAGTCATCATTTTGGCAAAATAAATCACTTATGATAATCTGGAACTCTCTTTTATAATATCAAGTGTTTTAAACCTTGAACATTTAACAGTCCTTCCCAAATCAAACTTCAGTTTCAAAATTGTCTTCCCTGGCATGTAGCTTTTTGAACTTAAAGAGGGCCCCTGAGTATCCAGAAAAGAGGGACAAACAGGATTATCTGGCATGATTAGGTACATGGAATTGCCAAAATGATGCTCAATCATCTTTAGGTTATATATTGCTAAATACTAATATATGTTCCACAATTGTATGGGATTTTAAAAATTCTAATGTCTGAGTATATGCTATCAATCATAATTAAGTTTTTTATGTTGTTATTGTAAACCATAACTTCTTTGTCAATTGTGTTTCTTTCACTACCCTGGACATTTTGCTATTCACAGACAATTGTCTTATTTTAACCCTTTTCAAAAGATGGTTTATCATAGGCTATACGACTCTGACAGGTGCTCTCAATACAATTTCTGATTGTATTTGAGACAATCAGGTTTCTAGTAACTTTGGAGATTGTGACGTTGGAATAAAGGAAAATGTACAAGACTCATGAAGAGCTGAAATGTTCACAAATATCAAGCAAAACCAGAGTTAACTAAATGGACTGAATTCAGAAAGCTGAAGCAAACTTTTTTACTTTTTCTTGGAATATCGGTGATCCTTGTTTTGTTTTTCAGAGTCAAGGAAACTTACTTTGAGCTCTTTATGGCCTTTAATAATTGAATAAGATATGCACTCCTGGGATCAAGATTTGGAGCATGTTTGTTTCTCTCTGCCCGGTTCCTCTAGAATTTGGAAACTATCTGTGTCTATTCCTATGGCAATATAGTTGTTTGTATCAGTACAATAAAAATTCATTTTTATTTTGCAATAGGACACAATTGGAAAAAATTGGTAATTTTACCAAGGTTTTGATCGGAAGGGTATGCTTACCTTTCAGGAGTTAATCTAGACTTGGAGAGTCAATAAAAGCCCTGTGGGGAAACTAGCCTCATACTGTCGTCTACTGTCCCTGTACAGGTTTCCTGACGTGCGGTCAGTAAAGAATGTCACTTCCTAACAGGTCTAGGAACTCCAAGTTTATCTTGGGACCTTAAGAGGAGAGGATCATCCAACTCACAGGTATTTGAGGATACAAACCCATGGCTGGGCTGGGCTTTAAAAAGTCTTAATCTGAGATTCCTTGTGGAACAGAATTTCATCAAAGCCAATCCAAAAGGCCTATGTATAAATAATTATTCTTGCTGTATTTTATGCAAATAATCAGGACAAGTATAAAGCTAAAGTCTGTTTTGCAAACCGCTCGGTACTATGATGATTTGTTTTTTAAAAAATATGAGGACTGGAGAGAGAGAAATCGTGTTCCAAAACTTACCATGCATTTATCATGAAAGTCTAAACTCACTAGTTGTTTTTAAGTTTTTGCCTACATTTTACACTAGTCTTGCTTATTCCTCTGAACCAACCAGCAATCTTCATCTGCAGCTCAGAAAGAACAAAACTGATGAGTAATATAGAAATCAATATTCTAGTGCTAAGCGATTATCCTGCAAATCCTGTCGGGTGATAAGAATAAATAGGATGCCCATGATGTGAAGGTTTCCTTCTTGGGAAAATAAGACCCAAAAATGTGGAAGTTACTTTGGAACTGGATAAGAAGCAGAGGTTGGAACAGTTTGAGGGTTCGGAAGAAGACAGGAAAATATGGGAAAGTTTGGAACTTTCTAGACTTGTTGAATGGCTTTGACCAAAATGCTGATAGTGATATGGACAATAAAGTCCAGACTAGGTGGGCTCAGATGGAGATGAGGAACTTGTTGGGAACTGGAATGAAGGTTACTCTTGTTATGTTTTAGCAAAGAGTCTGGTGACCTTTTTCTCCCACATTAGAGACCTGTGGAACTCTGAACTTGAGAGAGATGATTTAGGGTATCTGGCAGAAGAAATTTCCAAGCATGAAAGCTTTGAAGAGGAAGCAGAGCATAAAAGTTTGGAACATCTGTAGCCTCACAATGTGATAGAAAAGAAAATCCCATTTTCTGAGGAGAAATTCAAGTTGGCTGCAGAAATTTGCATAAGTTAAGAGAAGCCTAATGTTAATCACCAAGACAATAGGGAAAATGTCTCCAGGACATGTCAGAGACATTCACAGCAGCCCCTCCTTTCACAGACCCAGGGACCTAGGAGGGAAAAATGGTTTTTCTGGGCCAGGTCCAGGACCCACTGCTGTATGCAGCCTAGGGACTTGGTACCCTGCATCCCAGCCCCTCCAGCCATGGCTAAAAGGGGCCAAGGTACAGCTCAGGCTGTTGCTTCAGAGAGTTCAAGCCCAAAGCCTTTGCGGCTGTCATGTGATGTTGGTCCTGCAGGTGCACAGAAGACAAGAAATGAGGTTTGGGGACCTCCACCTGGATTTCCAAGGATGTACGGAAATGCCTGAATGTAGAGGCAGAAGTTTGCTGCAGTGGTGGAGTCCTCATGGAGAACCTCTGCTAGGGCAGTATGGAAGGGAAATGTGGGGTTGAAGCCTCCCTCACACAGAGTACCCACTGGGACACTGCCTAGTGGAGCTGTGAGAAGAGGGCCACCGTCCTCCAGACCTCAGAATGGTGGATCCACCAACAGCTTGAACTGTGTGCCTGCAAAGGCCATAGATACTCAATGCCAGTCTGTGGAAGCAGCTTAAAGGGGGGATGTACCCTGCAAAGCCACAGAGGTAGAGCTGCCCAGGGCCATGGGAACCCACCTGTTGCATCAGCATGACTTGGATATGAGACGTGGAGTCAAAGGAGATCATTTTGGAGCTTTTAAGGTTGAATGACTGCCCTGTTGGATTTTGAACTGGCATGGGGCCTGTGGCCCCCTTGTTTTGGTCAATTTCTCCCATTTGGTGTATATATATTTATCAATACCTGTACCCCCATTGTATCTAGGAAGTAACTAACTTGCTTTTGATTTTACAGGCTCCTAGGCAGAAAGAACTTGCCTTGTCTCAGATGAGACTTTGGACTTGGACTTTTGAGTTAACAATGGAATAAGTTAAGACTTTGGGGGACTGTTGGGAATGCATGATTGTGTTTTGAATGTGAGGACATGATCTGGGAGGGGCCAGAAGTGGAATAATATGGTTTAGCTGTGCCCCCACCCAAACTTCATTTTTTTTTTTGAGACAGAATCTTGCTCTGTCACCCAGGCTGGAGGGCAGTGGCATGATCTCTGCTCACTGCAGCCTCCGCCTCCCAGGTTCAAGTGATTCTCCTGTTTCAGCCTCCCCAGTAGCTGGGATTACAGATGCCCACCACCATGCTTGGCTAATTTTTTTGTATTTTTAGTAGAGATTGGTTTCACCATGTTGACCAGGCCAGTTTTCTGCTTCAGAGTCTTTCATTGGGCCAGGTAGCCCTCTCCATCAGACAAGCATAAAGAACAGCCACAGAGAGAAAACTGGTGAAGTGGAAGTCATAGTCTTTTGTAACCTAATCATAGAAGTGATATCCCACCACTTTTGCTATATACTAATTTTTAGAAGCAAGCCACTACATCCAGCCCACACTCATAGGAGGGGATTATAAAACAACATGAATATCAGGACAGCATGAACATCAGGTCATTGGGAACCATTTTAGAAGGCTGTCTACCACAGTAGTATACAAATTGCTTTGATTAGAAAAAGATACACCAACATGAATGTGAGGATAAGAATACGAAATTTACACAATAAGATAGGAATGGGTAATCACAGGAGCAAATCTAAATGATCATTTTACATATGAAGAGACTTTTATCTTCTCCAGTAGTCACGGAAATGCAAATTAACAGGTCAATGAAAAGATCATATTAACTATTAGATAAGACTCAGATTAATTTATAAAGATGAGCTATCATTTTCATACATGCATTCCTAATGGAAATATGAATATTAATCATAGCCTTTTAAGAAAGCAGTTTAATATCTATTAAAAATAGAAATATACATTCCCTTTGACTTAAAAATCTAATCCAACAAATTAAATCAAGAGCATACACACACACACACACACACACACACACACATTCTTACTGTAGTATTATTTCAATGCAAAAAACTAGAAAATGCATAGCCATCAACAGGGAAATAGTAAATAAAGTGTGGTATGTGAATATGTGATATTATGTAGCCATTAAAAGGAATCTATTAGAGGAAGAGGATGTCATGCCGGACAGAGAGAGACAGAGACAGAGAGACAGAGATAGAGATGTAGACAGAGGCAAAAAGAAGACAGAAAAAAGAAAGATAAAGATGGCAAAAAAAT